TTGAATCAGGACTAATGTAACGCTGAACCGTCGTAGCTCGACTTATTAGGGAAGTCAAACTATAGGAGGTCGCGTATTCATTTTCGTGCTATGGACAAGATAGATAAATGATATTGAGGATCATTTTCCAATTGAATCGTGTCGCACGAATTAAAAATAATAGGATCTCGTCTTGTAGATATAAGACTTCATCAATCACCAAAAGTCAAAATAAAATCGAAAAGATGAAAAGAAATGAGGAGAGAAATAAGTGGTCTCAGATCCAACATTATTCATCAATAATTTGACTGGTAATGAATTACGGAAATGTCGTCATCGACCAAAAACGTATGAAATAAAATAAAGTCGAAAATGAGAAAGAGGAGAGAAAGGCGGTCTCAGGTCCATCGTTTCTCATCAATAATTTGACATAAAAATAATAGAGGTCTCGTCATCGACCAAAACAAGAAAATGGGACAAAATGCTGAATAACAAATGAGAAATAAGATTACCTCTAAAATAGAAAATAAAATGAAATAAACTCTAATATAAATAGAATAGAAATCTAAAAGAAGTTAAAAAGAAAATAATATATATATTTACATATTCTAAAAGAAATAAAATATAAAACTAGAATAATATATATAATATGAAGAGAAAAAAAAGGTTACAAATATAATATATAAAACTAAAATTAAAAATATTTACAAAATATAATACATAAAACTGTTTTTGATAATTATAACTAAAAAAACTTAAATAATATTAAAAAAGTAAAATAAAAAAAAAAATAAAAAAAAAGGGGAGGGGTATTGTTTCTCGGTGATGTGTGAGGACAATAAGGAATCCTTTGGGCTTCAAGCCCATCATACCATGATGGAAACTAAACAAAACCGCTGGAGAACACAAGAAGAAGGCCCACCACCCACAACTGGAATATAACCATCAGCAAAACAATGCAAATCTAAAACAAGCTCGCCCGTGATAATACCTCATTCACCACAAAACCAATTAGTACAAATGTTTCAAGACAACACTCAACAGTACCATCTATGAACCGATGCCAAATATTATCAACATCATCAATCGAAGAGGCCAAATGAACAACCCCAATCAATTCTCAACCTTCTCTCTGTCCAGATTCTGCTTCAGTTTGTATACGTGAGAGATTTGAGACAGGTTTTATATGGCTATGGAAGGTTTGAAAATGGGTCGTTGTTGTTGAAGATGTTTTAACGGAAGACGTGTTTAGGAGGTGGAGTTCACGTTTTGAAGGTGTTGAGAGTGGTGAAGCAAGTTTCTGGGTTGGTTTGATAGAGGTGATGGCGGATGAGGAAGACGGTTCGCGAAAACGGAGAGGAGGTGAATGGTTGTCGTTGGAAAATGAGTTTGTGTGAGCTCGGAGATTGTTGGGAAGGATGATGAAGATGGATGAACGATCTGGGTTTTGAGATGATGGAAAGTGGTGGTTTTGATTTGAAAATGGTTAATGGTTTGAATACGGTGGATAACGATGGAAGCTGAGTTGAAGGGTTGTGAAACAGAGTTTGGTTGATGATTGATTTTCTGGTTTTTTTTTAGAATAGGGTTTGGATTTGGGTTGTTTAGAACTTTTGAAATGGGTTTTGAGTTGATTCTAACAGCGGCGAATCGTGTCCGAAAATGGGTTAGAGTTAAGGATGAGTATTGAGGTTCTGGGTGAGTTGTGAAGCATGCTTCTGGGTAAGTTGGTTTGAATTTTTGAAGGTGCGATGGTTGATGCGAAGATGGAGGTTGTAGCTTGAAGGTGAGGGATGGGTAGGCCGAAGAACAGTTGGGGCGGCTGATGTTGATATTCGTTTACAACACTTTTGAGGATTCAAACATTAAATTAAAGTGAGGAACACGAATAATAAAGATTCTATGATAAACAAGATTGAGACAAAGAAATAAAGCAAGAGTGAGAGAACAAAGAGAAGAAGTGATTAGTTTTGATTTTTGGAGGTTATGAAAACGAGAGGTATGAAGAACAAAGAGAAGGTGCAGAGAGTGTTTTTGTGTGACAGGTTTTGATGTTTGTTCAATGGAGGTTTGTAAGCTTGTTCATGGTGGATTGATGAGGATGATGAAGATGTGAGGGAACTGATGGAAGAAGGCAGTTGGTTAGGGTTTGGAGGCTGAAGCTTGAAGGCAATGAATAGTGCCTTTATATGCCAAATTGTGACACGTGGCAGGCTTAGGACTTGGTTAATGACAGGTGATTAATTAAGTTAATTCGTGCTGATGTTAGTTGATTAAATGATTAACTAATTAATTAATGAAAAGTTGATAATAATTAAATAAATAACAATTAACTACCTCCTAATTTAAAATAACAAAATCTAATTAAATTAATACTAATAAAATCTAATAAAACTATTAAATAAACTAATTGAAAATAAATAATAAAATCTATATTATAAAATAAAAACTATATTCTATCCAAATCTAAATAAAACTATTCTATCTATTTATTTTTCAAAACAATATTAAAAAAATATATTTAAACTATACAATTAAATCCTAAAACCTATTCTAAAATCCTGATAAGAACAAATGAACAAACTATAATAATCTATATAATAAATATTTACTCCTATTTAAAATATTTCTAAATAAATAAAAATAAAACCAAAACTATTCTAAATAATTAAATAAGACGAAAATAGCAATAAAAATGCAAAAATGTCATGGAGAACAAGCGGGCACCGAAATCCGTCGATATTATCGACATGGATTGAATTATCAAGAGGAGAGCGACTTTCGCTCGATTTTTTGACATTGAACTTATCATTTGAATTTTTTGAATCGCCTGAAACGCGAGCAAAGTGGCTAAAATCCTGATAAATTCAATTCGGCTGATAACACGGACAAAATGCGACCTAAATGATATGCAGATGAAAACGAAGCAAAAGCCAGTCAAAGCTAAAAAATCGGTGGACAAATTTTAGGGTGCAACAGCTAGCCAACATTTTTGAAAAACATTTTTTATTAGTCAATTTTTAATTAGGGATCTATTTACCCCACTCTAGATAAGTTTCCCTCGTCTAACATATTCATCTAAATTCTGAGTCAAGAAGGCATTCTTAAGGCACAAAATTTCAAGGTTTTCTTGAGAGGAAAAAAGGGACGCCTTCATAGTAGATAAAGTAGCACGCATATAAGCCAAAGATTTATCCTTCCTCGCTACACCTCTACACTCAGAGTGACCTTACATAAATAGAAACTCTACGCTCAAAGAAACCCAATAAAACCTAAATTTTAAAGAAGCGAAAAATTGAGACTTATAAAAAATGGAGTATAACTAATTTCTCTTTCTCTTCCTCATTTTGGTCTTTTTCATATTCTCGACAGTAACTTGTATGATATTCCTCCTCATTGCCTTCGTTCGTCGCTGAGCTAATCGTTCTTCAAATGTATTCTTACAAGTAATATTACAAATGGGAAAAATCTGAGTAACAATTTTGTGACATTTGATTTATGTCGGCCACTTAACAATCTCTTCAATATAAATTATATTCAATATACACTCTGCAACATACTTTCCAATCCAAGTACAAAATGCTTCGTGGAAAAATATGTTAAGTTTTTGGATTAAATATACAATATCTTGTAATGTAGACGAGTTTCGCTTTACCCCTTATAATATTTTTTTTTAGATTTCTCCCTATAACTTTTTTTTTTGTCATCTCCCCTCTCTTAAGCGTACAATTTTAACACTGAAATTTGGAGGGAGGGGAGAGGGAGAAAATAATATTAACACTAAAATTTGGAGGGAGGGGAGAGGGAGAAAATAATATATATATATATATATATATATATATATATATATATATATATATATATATATATATATATATATATATATATATATATATATATATATATATATATATATATATATATATATATATATATATATATATATATGGAGTAACTTTGACGCTTAGTAAGCAAAAGACACAAAAGTTTAATATTTTAAGAGAAAATTCATATTTTTTTACGAAAAAATAAATCGAATTTCGTTAATAATGCAGAAATATCATATATTTAAGTCGATATTTTTCTTTTTTAAAAACAATTGTACCGCCACCGCCGTTGACACTCTTCAACGAGACACTCAACCCACAACAGTGGTATCTTGAGCCTTTGGTTCGAATAAAGGGAACGAATTACTTGTATCGAAAGTATCCCCACAGGTTGTGGGTTGAGTGTCTCGTTGAAGAGTGTCAACGGCGGTGGCGGTACAAGGGTGCAGTTGCACAGTTGAAGTTTCCGCTTAAGGGAGAGCATTGTGGATAGACTTACACTTGAGGGAGAGTGTTAAAGTTAAAGTGTTAACAACTAGTAGCGTTCCTCAATTTATGGGTTAGTTAAATTAAGGGTGCCAAAGTTTAACAAAATTGTGGTTATATACTATATTAGTAATACAAACCTCCTAATCTATCATTTGTGTTTATCTTTCTCATAAATAGACAGTAAATAGAAAATAAATTAATGAGGAAATTCATATTCAATTTTATGCAAACTCTATCATATTATCTATAAAATTTGGAGACTTACATAAATCTCACTCAATCAAAGTGAATATTGAATATAGAAAAGTGAATGTTAAAATAGGTGTTGATACCACTTCACTTGAAACATTTGTTGATAGTTTTTTTAAATTGAAAAAACTCATAATTTCAAGGTTGTTCTTAGAGTTGTCACATTGCATACTCATATTAGTTACAAAACATCATCTCCAACCTAAAATTGTATGAACAATTTCTTAAAAAATTAAAAGAAAATTAGATTTTTCATCTAAAAAATAATGATAAACAAAATGAAAAATGAATCACCCAACATCTCAACAATAAGAAAAGTACTTAACTCTTTTTTATTCAGAAATATTAATTCATTTTTACATTAATGTTTTACAACACATAAACATAACTCAACTTCCAAGCAACACATATTCATAACTTAACCATTAATTTCTTTATTATTTAAAGTAAACAAGTTTAACTCGAATCTGATGTAAACTGGTAAGAAGCATAAGAGAGACTTCCCATTTCAATACTCCTATGGATTAGTTTAGCCTTTGAATTTTCACCTGCAGCACCAATTGCAACATGCAATGGATAAAAATGATCTGGATGTGGATGAGCCTTTCTCGCATGCGGCGCCTTTTTTTCATAATGATTCACATCTTCGTACCTACAAAACAGATTCAAATCCAACATTCAAAACCTAACCACATAAAATCTTTATATCTGAATAGAATTACAGTCAAATATAACTGATGTCGTTCGTTACTGCAGAACCAAACACACGCTAAATGCTAAAAGGTACGTCGGTACCTTCCATCAAGAAGAGCGTCTTTCAACCAATTATCGAATTCTAAGGCCCAAGGAGCAACACCGCCGCGAGGGTTAAGTGTTCCCAAGTTATGAACAGCACTTCCAGAACCTATTATCAGTACTCCTTCATCTTTAAGAGGTGCCAATGCTTTTCCTAGGCTATAATGGTGAGTTCCATCCATGTCAGATTGAACAGAAAGCTGACAAACCGGAATGTCTGCTTCTGGATACATTAACATGAGTGGAACCCAAGCACCATGATCAAGTCCTCGCTTTTTGTCTTCCTCGACGCGGTTGACACCGGAGTTTATGAGTAGTTCCTTCACCCTTTTGGCTAAATGTGGAGCTCCAGGTGCTGGATATTTAAGCTAGTAAAGGAAAATTTTCATGTAAGAAACTCAGCAGAACGAGAAAATTGATATCAGAAAATTGAGATCAGTGAATAAAAGGTTAGAATATAAAACTTTTTATTAATTTTTTTATTTTATTTTTAGATACATACGAAAATTATCTTGCCGGAAGTTGAATTATCAATTCATTAAAATTCTTCATCAAATTGGTTGACAATTACTCACCAACTAACAAAGAAAACTATTCCTTATACCGAACTAAATATCCTTCTTAAGATAATTTGAATTAGTTACCCACCTAACGATTTAGACATTTGAATTTTATAAGTAAAAACTTTTGCTTAAAAAATGAGTTTATATCATGGTACGAATGCAAATCAGATACATTATTTTCTGCTCTCATATTTAATTATCTAAATTAAAATATAGACACGTGTCATGATAATGTGAAAAAGAAGAAAGAACAAAATGAAAAACCTGGTACATAGGTTTGGGGAAACCATAGAAGTCATAGATTGTATCATTGGTTGTCTGAATAACGTTAACGGTGGGAACAGTCGTGTCCCAATGACCAGAAATAATCAAAATCGAGTTAGGTTTCTCACCAAACACGTCCTTCTTCCATGATTGTAGAAACTTCCTCGCCTCAATCGATTCATCTATCGACAACGTTGGTGATCCATGTGAGATGTAAAACGTATCCTTCAAAGCCATTTTTGTTGATTATTGCTTCTCGCTATATGCTTTCAATTTTTTGTATAATATATAGAGAGAGATGTAGTATGAAGAGAAAGAGAGAATAAGGAAGACGCGTGAATTGGAGAAAAATATAAAAGAATTGTTCCTATAAGGTTGTAGGTAAGGTGGTAGGGCCCACATCGAATGATATCAACCCGTTTGTGCTCACGTCACCATTCACATAATCTAAAAATATAATCTAATTCTTGCCGTTCTTTATTCAGCTTCTAGAAGAAAAATATAATCTAAAAACCATTTAAAAGAGATAATTTAATTTATCTTTATGGCGATAAAAAACATTTTTTATTATCTTTTATTTGTGTGTAGGCATGTGTACAAATGTACATTTGGATACACTAATTAATAAATCAAATAACACTGACCGATTCGGAGTCGCAGGATATCAACCATATAAAAAAAATGTTTGTCAATCTTATATAATGGTTGCTAGTTTAGATATAGTTAATAACAAATCCATATTTATGAGATTTTTTTTTGACTCAAATACCCTACTTTCAAACCAATAATCCTCCAATACCTCAATTTGAAATTTATTTACCAAAATATCTTACTTTTGAGGGAGTTCGCCCATGCAAGGGACGAACTAGTGAAAGGGATGCTTGAGTTCGTCCACCCCAAAGGCGAATCAGTGGAAGGACACGGCCATGCAGGAGTTCGCCCATCCCAAGGGCGGACTTGTGATGAAATATTTTTTTGTTTTTGTTTTTTTATTTATTCATATTTTCTACAATATATTTTTCTATTTAATTAATTTAAAAAAATTATTTAATATAAAACATATTTAATTAATTCCATATAAAAACTATTTAATTAATTTAATATAAAATATATTTAATTAATTCTATATAAAAATTATTTAATTAATTTTGTATAAAAACTATTTAATTAATTTAATATAAAATAATTAATTTTATATAAAAATTATTTTTACAGACTCTCGGTCACTGAATGACCGAACTCAGACATAAACTTTTTGTATAAATAAGCGTATCCGATTTACTATCATTCGTGTCAACTTATCTGATTTATAAAGATGTCCGTGCAAGCTCATGTTTTCTATGGACCTGAGAAAAAAATCAGTGGTTACCTAGATCCGCTGTGGAATTTCATAATCGTGGTTGCAGCAATTAACACCGGGTTTCGGCAGCTGGGCGGTCGTCGCGTGACGGTGAGAAAAATTGAGTATCGTTGTCCATATATAACGCTTACTGATGCTAGCCCGGAGGGGACGTACATGTACTACCTAGATCGTATAGAAAACGATGAAGATGTCCATTGCATGTTTTCAGCACATAGTGGTGAAGTCAACAGAGGAGTCACAGATCCACTTGTGTTGGTCGCTGTTGTTTGTTAGAGTTTATGTTAGCTTCATGAGTTTTATTTTTGCGTTTGTGGAGTCACGGATCCACTTTATGTTTGTAGTTCGCTGCTTTTGTTGTATTTTGAAAGTTGTTTTGAATTAAAAATAATTGATGGATCAAATACAAAAGTAGTACAATATAATTATCTATTCGGTCGGTTTGACGGACCGGCAACATTGGGACATTTACTACGCATATGACCTATTTCTCTGCAAATCCCAAACCGTCTCTTCTCTTTTTCTGCGTCGTCCATCTCAGTTCTAATTCTACTACTTCTTAGACGCCCTTTTTATTTCTTCTCATTGAATCGTCGTGGCACAGAGTGAAACCTTCATATTTTGGCCAGTTCTCCTCGTGCGGTAGTCCCAGGAAGCTTTCTTTGTAAACCTTGAATACATTAAGTACTGTGAAGACCTCTGGAATGTGAATTGCATGGTCTTGTCGTATGCTAGAACATGCCGCTATCACGTGAGAGCAAGGCAAGTGAAATGTTTGAAATTTTCCACAGTCACACTTACGATTCCTCAAGTCAACGCTGAAAGTACCCGTTGGACGACCATCGTTGTAATTAATCTTTTCCTGCACCATGAAACAGAATCTTTCTCGATCAAATTGCATGACGTTGTGTGTGTTAGCCTTGTCTACCTCCTCAGTCATTCCCTTTGTTACAACCATCTGTGAAAACTTTCCCTGGAGATAGCATCTTGGTCCATTTGTGTCCTCGTTTACCAAATAGTGAACCCATTCGATAATATGTAGATTGGACCAATGCAGTGATGGGAAGGTTTCTCGTGGCCTTTAGTACAGAGTTTATTGCTTCTGCTAAGTTAGATGTCATATGTCCCCAACGTTGCCCTCTGTCAAATGCTCTAGCCCACTTCTCCCTAGGAATATTGTCTATCCAATTTAAAGCCTCAGTGTTGGATCTTCTGATTTCTCCGCGATAATAATTAAATGAAGCCTCCGTCAATGCGTAACCTGTATCAGAAATTGTGTGAGAAAAAATGATAAAAATGTGCTACAAAATTTTAGATAAGCGGAATTTATTTTGTTACCCATGTTAACAAGTATTTTGCGTAGAACCTTGTCCTTAATATGGCGCATGAAGTTCTAAGCAATGTATCTTATGCAGTAGACATGTGAAGAGGGTGGATGTTGCCAACCGTTTTCAGGATTGATGTATGCACTTTTTATCGATTCATGTCTATCAGATATTAGACATAAATTCGGTTGTGGTGTCACGTGTAATCTTAGGTTCCTCAGGAAAAAACTCCAGGCTTCCTTTGTTTCTCCTTCGACCAATGCGAATGCCACTGGGAAAATATTTGCGTTGCAATCCTGTGCCACCGCCGTCAATAGAGTTCCTCTGTACTTGTCATACAACCATGTTCCGTCTACTTGCACAATGGGCTTACAGTAGGCGAAACCACGTATACACGGACGAAATGCCCAAAATAGACGATGGAATATTCGTTTTCCGAAGATTTGGGCACCATCACTTGATGTTGCAGGTAGGGTTTGCAAATCTATAATGGTTCCTGGAAGAAAGGTTTTCATTACCAGTATCCACTGCGGTAGGTCGTTGTAAGATGTTTCCCAATTGCCATAAAGCGACTCTACCGCCTTGCACTTAGCGGTCCATGCCTTCCGGTAAGATATAATGTACCCGTATTTTTCTAGAATATGGGCAACGATCACTTTTACCTTAAGTGAGGCGTCGTTGTTGACAAGTTCTCCGATGCTATGGCTAACCATTTCTGAACTGAGCTTCCTATGGTCTTGTGCCATCGATGTTGTAGTGCATGTGTGAGACCCAGACAGCTTACCGATCACCCATTTTGAGTTCCTTCGTCTAAATGAAGCTCTGCACTTGAACCTGCAGTCTTGTTTCTTACACTTAATGACATATCGTTCATTGTCAGACTGATACACCCAATAGTCCACACAGTATGTTATGTGCCAATGCTGTAGAGCGAGGACGCAGGCTTCCTTGTTTTCAAACTCCATACTGATCTCTATTTTGTCACCTATATGGTTTTGAATAGCACTTCCAAACATGGAGGTTGTGTCGTCATCTTCAAAATCAATATTTTGCATGTGTGTCGGCGGGTTATACAAACTTACGGGTTGTGCGCGGATCGGTTGCATAGACGGGACAACTATATCTTCATCTTCATTGTCTTCGTCATCGTTGTCACCAAAAATATCTTGCATCCTGAACTCCTCATAAATATCGTCATCACTTGATTCTCCAACCTCCTCATTTGGTATGAAAGGTAAATTGTTTTGCGTTGGTTCGTCGTCGGATGTTTGGCTCATCCCGTACCAGTGTGACTGTGTCTCCTGCGTTGGAAATGTTTCGGGATTGTCTAGTAGTCGGACATACACCTCAATTGTAGGTAACTGACCAAACATCATGTGGCACCGAAACATTGCCTTCACATCCTCGTCGTTTTTTATTGGTGTCATAATGTAAAAAATTGTACAGTCGTCTTCATTAAGGGTGGGATGGCGATAAATGATTTCCTCAACGCCTTGTGCCAATTTTTTTTCCATTCTATCTTTAAAATGAAAAAAAATCTGAATTGACATGAATTTTGAAGGCGTATGTATCTGTATTGCTGAACGAGAATCCAACAGGAGTGTTTGTTGAAACAACACCGTTAAAGTGGCATGTGGTAATTATGTTTCTCTGTGACATTTCGGAGTTTGAATGTTGAGAAGTTTGAATTTTTTTTGTAGTGTAAGATTGAACGTTGGGGAGTTTGAATGTGGTAATTGATGCATACAAGAGAAGTTTCTAATATTGTGATTCAAACAGATATACAACGAAACGAAATAAGTGAGAATATTGGAAAAATTTGGTATCAGTAGTTCGCCCACTCAAAGGGCGAACTTGTAAACGGGAAAAGCTAGGGTTCGTCCACCCCAAGGGAGAACACGTGAAGTGCAACATTGGTTCGTCCCACCCAAGGGCGAACATGTGAGGGTCTGCTAAAAATGTTTCACATGCATACGACATGGTGTAAGAAGCTAGTATTGCATGCATGCAAAAAAACGTAGGTGCCATGCAAAAGTCTCTTCAATCTATAACTTTCAAATTTATTAAACCTAATATTTTATTTTCAATACACACTACTATATATTCAAATTATTTACCTCCAAAATTTACACACCATTTTTACTTCTAGTTCTATCTACTTCCTAGCAATTCTCACTTCTATTCCTCTACTATCTTGCAATTTTTACCCGACTAAAATGGCATTGTTGTGGATGGGTGATGAGCACCGTGGAACACAACAAAATATCAATAATAGTGTAAGTTTTTCATATTTTATATATTTTTTTCCCAAAAAATTTAATGTATATAGTTCTTTGTCAAATTATTATTTCGTCGTAAAAATTGTGAGTAATTAATGTTGGTTTAATATTGTTGCAGATTAATGCCCCGAGGTTTAGGGTGCATTCACATTCTCCTGTTCGAGCGAATGATAGAATAATGCCTTATCTTGAGATCGCAGGATTCGCACACATTTCAAAAATAAACAGTTTGAAAATCGACTCAAGCTTAGTTGTTGCTCTGTTGGATAAATG